TCAGTACGCTATAGCTATGCGCTGACAAATGTGAGTAGGAGGCTATGTCTACAAGTGCGAGGACGCTGATGGCTATCATGCTACATAATGTTCACTGTAAAATCTACAAGCGCGTGCACTGTACCTCACATCCGGGTATACCCGATGTCCATTTGTTGCGGGCATGCACACTCTTGATGCCTTGGCGTTCTTTTTTAAGGACAGGCCAGTAAATTATCCATTTGGAGATGCACCTATTTCAGACAATGTGGTTGCAATACTTAGTGTATGTGTTGCAGTGAACCATTGTATCAGGGAGAGTGAGCCAGAGCTCATAATTTATTGTCACCCACCAATTCCACTTATCCTTCCATATAAGGATGAACGGTTCAGTGGCCATGGGCTGCATATTCTATGTAATATGAAGAGTGTTTTTCTGGAATTTGTATCCTAAAATGGTAATGTTTGATATTTCCGGGCACCTCCAGTGCCAAGAGTTAGGAAATAATTCGGATTCAGATTTTCACATCAATCTTCACAGCATTTTTGGCACTCAGATTGAGTAAAATACTACAGTGGTCCATGATGCCATAGAGCTATCCTGTAAGTGTATTCTACAGTGAATGATAAAAATCAATCCTCTTGAGAATGAGGCTCCAATATAAATAGATTCCATCACAGCCTAATGAGTTGTTAGGGCCCGATGAGTCATGAATGATACCTGACAGCCTGCCCTGAACCATGACACACGTGCACCTTGATGCACATATTTACCCATGACAATCACTTCTTTTTACACCCATTTACCTCTGCACCACCGGCAGGCTGCCTGGTGCTCACGCATTACAATGTGTATTTCGAGGTATTGTTGTCTGCCAACAGCCACCAGTTCTTGTGCGGCTATCATGCAGCCTAACACAGTGGCACTAGCATCCAACCCCTGTTTCCTCCACACCCTGCAACTCTGCAGCATGATGGTGCGTGACGTGTCATACACTGTGTCGATCTTGTAGCGCAATGACCACCTCATTGAGCATGCATTCTTCAGCGCGGTGCGGCAGCAGAAGTGGCCTGTCTGCCGGGGATGGGTCAGTGTGAGTCAGCAAGGGAGAGAGGAAAGACAGACGACCAACAGCAGACTTGATGAGGAGCGCTCAGCATGGTGGATACAACAGAGAGCTTAAGTTGGATGGTTGTCATTGTTATTGACTAGGGCGGCCTTGTGCAGTGCTTCCAGAGTGTGCAAATCTGGGGTTTGAACCAAACAGGCGGTCTGGCATTCAGGCAAAATGGGACAAAAACCAGACCGAACCAGACTTGGCCATCACTAACATTGTTTCAGTTAGTAATCTCTTTTGTTAAACTAATTACCCAAATTGTAATATGAGGATACCTTCTACAAACTTCTGCCCACCTCCCATCACAGTCATACTGCTCAGAGTAACAAACACTCTTGGTATAGCTACAGCACAGCATATAGTCGACTGTCTAGTAGGTGGACCCCTGTATCTCTTCAATATGTGTTAGTCTTTAAAAAGTCATTCTTGATAGTGTAACAACTGAAGTTCCCTGGCCTTTAATTCATGTAATGAGACATATAGGGATAAATTACAGTCCCTACTGACATAGGACTTTGCTAAGTTATCTCAGTTGTAATATGTGATATGAGAGTTGTAGTAGTTGTGGCAAAAAAAATTGCAGCTGATCTGCATGTTGAAAACATGCAAACAACAAATTAAAAGTTGGAGTTGCTCTGGAAGAAAGTTATGTCAGGGTTCGGGTCGGGCCAACGGGCCCTATACGGCCCATCGGGCCCTCACCACCCTTAGAGCCCTAGGGCTTGACAAGCCCTCATAATTCACAAGCTCAAAGCAATGAGCAACAACACTAATATCCCAGAGAAGGGACATAATCACGGATCGCGCTTTAGTCAGCCATCAAGCCATCATGACCCGCCATCAGGGATCATGATGCGCCGCCGGACGCCCTTGACAGCGGGCCCAATCGGCCCCAGACAACCACAAGGATCAGGAGGGAGCTCCTCACTGTTGCATTGCCAAAAACACTCCTTAGTGTCGACTTTGGCATGGCTCCTTTCCAGAGGAATGGTCCCTGGGCTCCTAGCGGAGCGACCAGGGACGACCAGAGACATCCCCTGCTCCATTCTGATCGACCCTCAGCGGGCCCGATCGGCCCCTAGCGCCCACAGTATATAAAGACTACAGTATTACTCCTGTACCTTAGGTTTAGCATTGAAGTCTCTTCCTTTGAACCCTACTCCGGCCTGGTCCCCTAGAGCGGGGTTGCTGCGACCATACCCCAGGAAAGGGGCGTCTAGACGACTTCCAACACTCCAGGCTAGCTTGCCTCATTGACCTGAGCCCTTGGTTGGGCTGGACAGCTCAGGCTCTTGTCTCTTATGTTCACCCTTGTCCTAGTCACTTCTTCTTGCTCTCTGGCCTCAAGCTCTGGGTTCCCCTGGTACGGGGCGATGGGAGGGTCCGGGCCCGATCGGGCCCGCATGTCACGCGTCACACCGCGCAGTCACGCGGTGTCTAGGAGCCACAGCGACTCGTTTCTCCAGGAAAGGAGATATGTCGCCCCTTGGACTGGCAACCCTTCTCAAGCGCTCCAGGGGTCTCGGGCCCGCAGCCCCTGCTGCGGGGCGACTCCCCTCGACCCCCCGAACCGTCGGGCGTGACCGCGTTACGTCACGCCCCGCCCGAACGGCTTGTTCAACTGGCCCAGCCTATGCCTTGCCCTATGTCTTGGGCACCAACTCTACTAGACAGCACTCTTTGGCTATGGACTCGTTCCCTTCAGCAGGGGTAGGACACTCTAGACGACCACTCGTATCCTGTGACACCGCTGTCACACAACGTGACAGCGGGGCGTCTCGAGTCGCCCCGAGCTGTCCCTACCCTGCTCTCTATTGCAGTGGCACCATCTACGCTGCCTGGTTGCCGACCACCCAGCTATGGGGGTTGAACCATCTTTCCCACACTTGTCAGACTGGCAGGAGACCGTCACGTGGGCCCGGGCCGGCCCTGTTCCTGACAAGTTACTATGTGAAAAGTTGAGATTGTAGTTGAGGAAATGAAAGATGTTGTTGTAAATAACAAGTGGTATTAATCCCTCTGGGAGTTGTTTTAGCTTGAAACATGTAGAAATACATTATTTAAAGTTGCCCCTAAAAAGTCTGCCAAATAGAGTTGAAAGTTATGAAAAACTTTTGATACAGTATACTGCCCATAGAGTGGACCTAAGCGAGGTGCTGCCAGGGGAGGTGCTGGTCGATGTCTGGGCTTTGCAGGCATTGGCACACACTTTGCGGTGATGCGCTGTGAACGTGCTCGAGAGCGCAAGCTAACCCAAAATAGGTCAGCATCACTACTCCCAGCAGCCAATAGCTAAATAAATATGCGAGGGTCAATCCATACCCTGGACTTGGAGGGCAGGTGGTGGTGGTACAGTGTGTGGTGTTGTTGGGGAGGACGAGGACGACAAGAGACATGCTGACTAAGACGGTGAGGCGCTACGACAAGGGCCCGAGACTTATAACATGAACTGGAGGGAGCAAAAAGCCTTTGAACTAGGGAAGACACTGGCTTTATATACTAGTAATAAAATGAAATGACTCCAAGGGCGAGTCAGACCGAGCTCCGGGCCACCCCCGATGAGTCAGTGGGCCGGTGACGCGTCGCCGTCGTGCGCGTGAACGTGTTTGATGCGCGTGATGCCGCGGCGCGCTGAGGCCATCGTGCTGATGTGATGCCGATTTCCGCGACCAGTTGCATGCTCAACAGCGGCACTGGCAGTGCGGCTAACGTGGAACGTGTTCACGTAGAAATCACAGAGTGGGGCACTGATGTGCAGTTTCTTGCTGGGAGAGGATCAGAAAAGCAGGGCAAGAGGGGAGAAAGAGAGGGCGAACAGATTAGCTTCAGGGACTGGAGCTCGACACTGGCAGAGTGGTCGGCTATGTTTGGGGGACCAGCTGTTGAAGAAACAGGAGGAGAATAGCTTGTTTTAATCTGTACCGGCACATCTGGTCTTGTGGAATAGACCATGTTCGGTGAGCTATAGCAGTACTGAACAGGAATATCAAGGTTCAAACTTACCTCACTGTTGGGCAGGGCTTAAGCCCGAGCCCTGGGCAGGGCCGGGCAGGGCCGGGCTCAGGGCTCGGGCTTGGGATATTGGTCTGCCCAAGCCCTGAAAGCCCGGCCCAAAACAGGGCCGGGCTCGGGCAGCATTTTGTGAAGCAGATAACCTACATAAGTGATTGAAGCACTATCAAGGGTACCTGAATCATAAGATCAATATCTTTGACAATAAACATGTTATTGGTATACATATATTTTACCACATGCATTGATGCTGCAATATCTTCACCAATTCTGTATGGTTGTTGTACTGGTAGATAGCCAGTTATCTCAAAGTTATCTAGTCTTGAGATGTCCTGATGTGATCAATCAGGAATATCTTCTATTATGAATATATTACTCTGCTCCCTGTATATTATATCATTATTGAATTATTTGCATAATAATATCATAATTAGCCAGGACTATATGAAATGTGGGTTTTGAAAGAAAAAAATAAGAAGTGCAACGAAGAACACAGGGCTCAGGTCCGCAGTGAACGGAGGCCTGGGAACGTGGTTAACTTACAACTATGCACCATGTCCGTGGCTGACTGCACAAGCACAGTGAGAAGATGAAGAAAAGATGGATATGGACAGATAAAGTGCTTACCACAATACTTATAGTGAAATAAATAATCTATATATTTGTTATTGCCAGGAGGCGGTGTTGCTTAGTTAGACATGCAGAAGGACTAATAAAAAGGATGAAAAGAGCAACCTACACCCACCGCTGGTGTCTGCAACGAACGAACGGATACCCAGCACAACTGCAGGCCCGGACTGTGAGGGGACCACACAAGCTAGCCCCAGCATGGACTTCAGTGCACACCTCATAATCACTGGTATACATCTACAAAACACAAATCCATTCTACTCATGGTACCCCGGCGGCGCCTCTTCCTCCTCCTCCCGCTCCCCAGCACCCGCGCCCGTATAGGCCGGCCCAGCCGTACGCGTGCCCCGCGCCTCGGCGGCCAGCTTCGCGTCTGCGCCGGCGCCCGGCGTGCCCGGCAGCCGCCTCCCGCGCTGGGAGGAGGACGACGCCGCGTCGGGCTCCGAGTCGGGCACAGGGGGGGCCGGACGGCGGCCGGTCGCTGTACCGATCATCTGGTGTGTGTGTTATCAAGAACGGCGCGACGACGCTCTCCGGTGCGCCCGGTCCCGGTCCCGAGGTGGGGCTGTGCTGGGAGTACATGCCCAGCCGCGCGCCGGCGGTCCGCAGTCGGCGACGCCGGCGGCGGAGGAAGAGCGCGCCGAGGGCGAGGAAGACGAGGAGGACCAGCCCGCCGATGACGCCGCCCGCGAGCGCGCCGACGCTGGGGCCGGACGTGTCGTCTTCATCCTCCGGCCTCACCGTCCCGTGCTCTCCCGGCGCCGGCGACGGGGAGCCGCTCGGCCCGGCACCCGCACTCGCACTCGCGCTGGCCGCAAGCGGGGGCACGACGAGGAGGTAGTCCGCCCAGAGCGGGTCCGCGCCGAGCGCGGTGACGACGAGGGTGTGCCGCCCGTCCGGGAGGTCGCCCGAGCTGTAGTGCAGCGTGTTCGGCGCCGCGGCGGCGGCGGTCGTCGGGGGGACGAAGAGCGCGGGCGGCCCGCCGTCGATGGCGAAGGACGCGTTCGGGCGGGCGCCTGCGGAGATGGGGGCGTAGTACGATATGCCCCGGCCTGGTTGATGTCGGTGAGCCCAGCGGGAAAGAGAAGGGTGACGCACCGGAGAAGGTGTAGGTCAGCTTCGCGCCGGGCCCCGGCGACGCACGGCTGGTATGCATGAAGTTCATCTCGTCCGCGACGTCCGTCCACTTCGGGCTGTACACAATGCCTTGATCTCTATCGTCGACGTAATACGGCCCCGGCCCGTCCGCACTCGCGGCGTAGGTGATGTAGTCGAAGTAGAGCACGCTGCGCGCGGGCGTCGGCACGGCGGCCTGCGTGATCACGAGCGTGTGCGGGCCGTCGGCGAGGCCGGCGGCGGCAAAGAGCTCGGTGTGGTGCACGACACCGGCCGCGCGCACGGCGGTGTATGTCGCCCGGCGGGTGTTGTCGAGCAGGAAGGAGAGCGCGCCGCCGGTAGCGTTCGCCGAGACCGTGCCATAGACGCCGATCGATGTGCCTGGCCTGTCTGAGCGCGGAATAGACTAGAGGAGGGTGGGCACGCACCGACGAAAGAGAAGGACGCGGTCGAGCCCTGGGTGACGGAGCAGTGCGTCGTGTGCTTGTACTCGGCGGGGGAGCCGGACGTGCCCCACTTCCCCGCGTAGTGTATCGCCTTGTCCGAGTCGTCCACGACGACGAGGCCGCCCGGCATCGTCGCGGGGAGGGCAAAGGGAGGGTGGTAGAGGGAGGAAGCAGAGAAGCGTTCTCGCTTGTGCGCGATGAGTATCAATCGGTAATCACTCATGCATCACCCGCGGGCCCCGGTGCGGCGATTCCGCGGCTCTGGCCGCTGCGAAATGCTGCCCCTTCGTCTGCCCGTCAGCCCGCTCCTCCATCGTGCGTTGTCCGCAGACAGCGGCCCATTGCCCCGCATCCACCAGCCGCCACCGCGCTGTCCCCGGCGCAGATCGCGGCCGCGTCGGACGTGCGTCCGCGTGCGCACGTCGTGGTCGCTCGCACGCCAAGCGGATCGGCGCTCCCCGCGACGTCATGCGCTGGTCATGCGCAAGCCTGTGCATCATCAACTTATCACAAGTCCCACCGACCTCTGCGGTAGGCAAGCGCGTGTGGCGTACATGTCCAGCGCCCCGTCCGTGTCCATTTCCATGATGGTGAGTCCACCGGACGCCCGTTCGCGCATTCAGCCAATAGGAAGGGAGGTAGTTTCTTTTTTGCTCCACTGGGCAGCCGGCTCGCGACACGTATGGGAGCGGATGTGCAGTCCACCCACACTGTTATAAATCATCAGCCGGGCCGGCGTCCGCCGATCCGCAGAGTTCCGACATGGCCCGCAAGCGTGCGGCGTCTGCAGCTATGCTCGTTTATGATCATGCCCGTTCGCCCCGGGCACGCGCACGTTGACGTATACGTTCTGAACTAATCGCTTCTTTTTGCACCAACTTGGCCCCCGGCCCACGGGCCACGCATCGCAATAAGGGTGGGGGATACAAAACCTGCCGCCCCAAAAATTGTCTGAGTGATCGCTTAAAAGCTTCCCCTACACTCTTGTTTATTGCGACACTTGCTGCTGCTAACAACCCGCCACATCTAAGTTGCTCAGAGAGATTGTTCAAAGCAGTCTTAGGACTCTAATCATTGTAGCTCGAAATCATTTATAAATGATAATAAATGTGTAAATAATGATTTTGTTTGGCTGACTGGACTCATAGTTACTCTCAGCAGTATCTTGCTCATTAGACCCTGTATAATGCCTGTGTTGACTAAGAATACGCTAGCAGGTGGAAATTAGTCATTAGTAATGTAAACCCAGCGTGGGATCAAAGCAGTCAACAACTCATCATAGATGGTATGACACCTGAGTTGTTGTTTTTAACATTATATATATTGCAGTTTTTATTTTCAGAATATTTTGAATTACTAGATGATGCTATTATTGCCTAATCTTAGTGATGTAGCTATCTTATAATATAATATCTTGGGTATTAACATTGTTTGGTAATAAGATTTGGTCCTACAGGAAAATTACTCAATTTAATGTCCTTAATATCTGCTCAGAAAATTGTCCTTCCATAGAATCATTTGTAAATGATTTAAATGATTTTTAAACGTTTATTAATAGTTTTCATTTAATTTGAAATTGCCACAAACAAAAACTAAACGACTGGAGTCCTAAGCAGTCTTGTCCATGGTAGAAGTCTTAACCATCAGTCCCTGTCAGAACGGACACATTTTCTCACAGGACCTTCTTGTCACAGTCATGCTGAACAGCAAGCAGCTACCGCTGCTTCCCCAAACTCCATCCACCACAAAAATTAACAATGTTAACAGACGGGATTAAGCTGTCTCTCTACCGCGCTCTGGAAAGTGGATTAACGTTTGAAGAATGGTGATGCTTAGAGGCGGTAAAGGTATATATGATGTAGTTGGCATGGAGGAGGCAGATAAAGAAGGGCATAGGTAGGCTTGCTACGGCTAAATTAGATATTTTTTAGATTAGAAAAGCAGCACACACACCATTTAAAAACACTCTGCTGAGAAAATGCTAGCAGTTTAGGAGGAATACTTGAGGGGGACACTACTGGAGGCCAATGCAGCTCATTCACTCAGCAATACTAATAAAAACATAGCTACTAGTGAAGGGTCGTACTTATAAAACCTGGGGCAGGGCTTAAGGGTCACAAATGTTACACTTTTTAAAAAACCTTTTGTTTATTTTTGAGTGTTAGATCATGGTATTGATGATGGGATTGATGGCATGAGGATAATGTGATCAATGTGGAACCATTTTTGATGGTTATCAGTACCATTGATAGTCATCAGTACCATAGCTATGTCAGGATACATCAATTTTAGTCTAATTAGAATGTATACATTTGTCCTAGATTACAGGCCTACCTAGATGTTTATCCGGGTCTTTGGCCTGAAAAATGGTGATTTGCTTTTCTATATCTGGTAATAGCTTAGTCATAGCTGTCAAACTCATTGAAATATTCACAATTGATTAAATGTCACTTTTTTTTTTGTCACAGTACTCTGGCCATGGCTAGCATGAGCTTCCCCAGGTTTTATAAGTACAGCCCTTTACCAGTACTCACAGTTTTATTAGTAAAACTAAGTGCACATCCTAGCTGATATGGGGGATGATAAGGAGGCATGTAACTTACTAGCGGCCCTGCCGCATGTCACCGGCCCAACTCTTAGTACCGGGTGATGTCGATCAAAATGACATAGTTCTAGGATAAGAATTGCTCCTTGCAATTCACCTCTAGCTATCTTAATTTTTGAGCTAGAGGTTATATGATAGATAGTGATAAGCCTTGGCAGGGGCAAGTATCTGCTAGATAAGACAGAGGCTTTTAAGTTTGCTGTTCCTCCCTCCCTCCTTAATAACTAAAAGAACTCACACCTCTTCTAAATTCACGTGCAATAAGAGCACTATTAAATTTAATAGAATATCACAACCTGGCAAGATAGTTACTGCAAAGGAGTATAATACCTATTCTCATAGCTATATTAGGCAACATCGAATATCACAACAATAGACAGACCTATAGCTGCTTTAATTTATACAAGAGCAATTGTCTCGTACAATTCCCTCTAGACAATCCTGAAGTATACAAGACTGGTTATATTTCTAAGACATATGAGGGAATTAGTGGAAAGTCAATAGTAGTCTGCTGAGTGTTAAACCCTGGCCGTAAATAGGGAATATAAATGTTGTGTTTGTTTAGGGAATTATTAAATCTGTACTAAATTATAATTATAAGTAAGATATCAATATAACTTTAACAGTTCTATATAGGTATAGCACATGTCAATTTAATGTAAATTTTTTCATAATAATACAGCATATATTGAGGATAATATAATACTCATTTTTATATATTTCTATTTTAAAAGAGGTACTAACCAACATAATTTAAGCTGGGGACTCACAACGTCTAAGGAATGAGATAGTACCACTAGTATATGTAGCAGGCTCAGTAGCAGTAATAACAAGCAGTCCACAACGAGTGCTGAGGGAGTACAGGATTTGCGGGGAAGGCAGACAGTGCCTGTAAAGACATGGGGCATGCAACAACCCGAGCCATGCTGCAGAAACCTTCCCCATATCATCCTTCACGTGTTATCTATTAGGCAGCCCACATCCTCTGATCCTTTCTAGCAGCGCACGGGCTATGAGTAGCATAAGCTGTGTCTCCACTCTATATAACGTGCATAATTGGTCTAGAATGTTACTGTGAGACTTAGCAGTGTAGATGTTGTTGCAACTTGGGTGGCACTGACTCAAAGGCACGTATATAGCAACCTTAGGCTCCTCTGTCTCACCATGACCCTCTGCACGCGTGTCATTCTTGTCCACCTATAGACATCCGCATCCTGCTGTGCGACCCCAGCAGCGTAAGCTCAAGGCTTGATCCAGATTATCCCATATAGGTTGTCTTGTCGTTAGCTGACCAGTTAACTACCAGTATCACTCTTGCAAAGCCAATTTGGCAGGTTCCGCCAGGAAGTAGAACCTTGCAACATGTTAGCTTGCTATTTGCGACAGCTATACCCGCACCTGTTCCGGTATATTGCGGCCACGGGAAGATTTCGGACGGTCCACAGCGACATCGCCGATCTCGGAGTCAAGGCTAAGGAACGCGCAAAACGCAGAACCCCGACGTTGAACACGAAACAACCCAGGATGTCCCCCCGGAGCACGGTAGGCTGTTTACGATACTTTCTTCTCTCTCAATTCCATAAACACTCTCACATTTCAAACGACAAACATACAGCAACACCGCAGAAACGGTTACTTACACCTACAATACTATACATACCCACAACACATCTATTTGCGCTCTGGAGCGCGCCCGCCCGACAGACTAGACGTTGGGCCGAGGGCATGATACCGAAGACACCACAGATTGTGCAATAGCGAGGACGAGTACTTATACTGTGTATGATGCTGGCTACCGTGCCCAAGGGCGAAGGCCAAATAAAATGGATACAAAAAAATGGATACAAAAAAGAAAAAAAAAATTGCAACAGCGCGGATGGCTAGACAGGACGGAGAGAGGCTGCTTATGCTTTAGGGTTGGTTTAGCGTTAGCGGGGCTCTCAACTGAGCTGGGAGAGGAGGAGGAGATTGGGGGCGCTGACAGCCCAGGATATGTAACATTAGGTCATATCCTGCCGGCTAATCAAACACCTAGGTGTCCCAGTCCCCATTATAAGTTATTTGGTCTATTGCAACACATGGGACTCGGTAAGTTCACAGTGTCTTAATTGTTTACTATGATAATAAATAATTGTAGGATAAAAGGATAAATAATGTTGAGCTTTAACACTTGTTTTTTTTTGGTTTAAGTCTCTTCTAGTATGAATAATAATGAATAATTTCAGAGGTATAAAACTTCACTAGTATGTGATAACACAAAGATTTTCTTAAAAATTATAATACAGGTGTATTATGCTATAAATAATGATGAATAATTAAACCCCTTTGATCCCTCTGAATACCTACTTTTATGCCTGCCCCTAATGTAACCTATTATAGAGGCCTTGCTGTAGAGCCGCACCTGAACCGTTTATAAAAACACAATAGAAAGATCATTTAGGACCAGCTATTGACTATAGTCAATTCCTATACCCTCACTTCTAATTGAAATATTTAGTTACATCTTCTTTGATAATTTTAAAAGTAGTTTAATTCCTTATTGCTATCTGTTTACAAGGGCAGAGGATTGTACTTGCTGACCTCTACCTTTAGATGACCCCTTATTATCTCTTACCAGCGTATAATCAAGCTTACTATATAAACCTGCTTTTTGACCATTTTTTAACATGCACACCTAGGCTCCCTATTGCAGTTGACATTTCATATGTTTACCATACCTAATATAAAAGGCAATAACATCATACTTTAGCTATGCCTTTACGTGCTGTTTGCCTCATGTCCAACTCCACGCTGTCAATCAACATTAGCATTGACATCTGATAATTTAATCATCATCTTATCGTTCATCTTATCTCCTCCTTGTCTTATCTTATTAATCAAGGCCAGAATAAAAGGTTTAAATGGCGAAGAAAAAGGTTTCTTAAACTCAAGGTTTGACATTACCCCCCTTACTGATTTAAAGTCAAGATAACATAAACAGGAGAGAAACCCTAAAGTCAGATCGCAGATGATGTAGACATCTAGAATGTTTAAGCAATGTGATATTTGTTATAAAAATAAGAAACCTAGAAAGACAAGGGAATGCTGTTAGAGAACAACAAGGATATAACTAGGTACGTAATAAAATAACCAGTGCTTAGTTTCTTAATTTTATAATAATATAGTTCCTACTTAATTGTCTTGTGATTGTAAGGCAGGTTGTTTCATACTATGCTTAGGAATGAGCTGAATAACCGTGTAATTATAAGGTGTGTCAACCTCTTAATTAAGGACATGATAAAATTGCAGGGAAAATCCATGCTGCTTTATGTGTATACAAAAATTCATTACAGATTAATGTTAAAATCTAAGTAAAACATATATGTGATAGTGCTGAGGTTGGAATCCCTATTAACTAAGAACACTGTGAAATTTAGTAAACAAATTAGATAATAGAGGACATAAAGAGCACTGTAATTAATTAGAATAGCCATTTTGTTATTTTGAAAGAATAAAAAGACATAATTGATACTATAGTAGTTGTCTTTGTTAGAATAGAGGCAACTATAATTAGGAGAAGAATTATAAACATAAAGGAGTGATGATACGAAGTGATAAAGGGTCTCACTAATACACATGCCTATTATTAGGGGACACAGTGGGAGGAGAAGACATAATAATGCATAAACATAGGATATAATTTCTATTTATAGGAAGGCATGACATAATACATTTAACTAAGTGTCTTCTACTTTAAACCAATTAGCTCCTTAGAGATACATGTAAAGAATATCTCTATAATCTTTGCTTTGTTAGAGGGGGGTGAGGAGAGGCACTAAGAAGTATAATATAATTTTTAGATAATCACTGCATGACTTCCTCCCTCTAAACTTATTGCTCATAAGACAGAAGGTTGACTGAACTGTTAAGTCTATACTTAACGTATAGGTGGCTAAGAACAGCCGTGACAGGAATTATATAATAGTATATAGCACATATAAGCATGTAATAGGTATGATAGTAAATAAAACCTAATTAGATCAATTTCGCAGGTGTTAAAAGCTCAGATGTTTCCGTGGCCAGCAGAGCTATACCTAGAAAGGGTAAGAGATGGCAAGTGAGTGAAGATTGCACATACTGTTGAGAGGTATATATTTAAAATTACAAATTAGCATATTAAACCAGGATTGAAAAACAGAATAGATAGTTAAATATGTATTAGTAGTAGTGAGCACGTGAAGAAAAGCAGATATTATCAGTGTTATCTATCCCAAAGATGATGAGCTTACCGTAGCATGACCTTTGTGAGTCTGAGGAATCTGAGTATATCTACTAGTAGGGGTATGGTCTACCTTTTAGAAAGTGGTGCCCCTGCCCCTCTAGCATATTGTTCCATCCTATATTATATATCACCTAAGGCCTTTTAGGATTGACTAGCCCTAATACATGTGGTATGATTACAAATGGGTGGGGATTATAGTAGACCATTATATATCATTATGTCAACTTGGACCACAAGACCCAGCAAGGGCATATGCATGTGCGCTTGTACCAACTATGCAGCGGGGATGTCAGCACTAACTATGTGATAATGCTCACTGGAACCTCCGGTCCACGCTAGTGTGCTATAACATCCAGTGCAAGAACAGTGATGTGGCAGGTACCACAAATGGTGCTATAAGTCACCAAGGGGTGGAGGCAATACCAAGAACATAAGCAGAGGTGTTTGCCAACAATCTAAATTCTGGATAGAGTAATGTGTAAACATAGCCTCATCAGTTTCTTTCAAACTAACACCTAATTATGGTATTATCCACACAGCCATGGATGCACCCAAAGCTGCATAGATGGGACCATGGTCATGGGTTGTGTAACACCTATAGTACCATCCCCAATTTGTGGATAGTACTACTCTTAGGGATGATATTATGTATTAAACTGTCCTTTATAAGAGTGTTTTTTGGGACACCATACAATATACCCTAGCGGCCTATTACCCCCAGCATCAGATACAATATAGAATAACAACACTACACCACCAAGGTATCGAGACATCTGCTTGATGTCCTGCAGCAATGTCCAGTCACATCCAGCGTGATCATCCAGTCAACTTCAAATAGATATCTGAGCAGACTATGAATGTCAAATCTCAAAGACGTCAGTCTGATCACGAAGGTCCATTAGATGTCAGGGCAAAACATACCTTGGACGTCATATAGTTGTCTTGTAGAGTAGCGGGTCAAATCAAAAATACACCAGAATACACTTATTATTCTTCCTTAATTGCCCAAAAGAATCCGTCAAAATGCTTGAATTATATACATATATCCTGTTTACGGCTCATTATTGTACTGTGCTAAGAGGTCATCGTCTGTGTTTTCCTGCTCAGCCGTCCACGGTCGTCGTGGTAGTACTATCCGTATTTCCCGGCAGATCCTGCTCCTCGTCACTTTCACTTTCATCCGTTCGTACCCGTTTCCGCTTGGTTCCTCGACTAGCTGCAGTGACCCGGGTGACCTTCTTCGCATGCTGATTCAGGTCCTGAAGCCATCGCTTTGAGGCTCCGCCGATGACCTCTTGGAAAGTGAAGTGCTCGCCTGGCGCTGGTGGATATTGTTCGCGGTCCATCGTGTAACCAAGATGAAAAGCCCTGGGCAAGCGATTAGAGGGCGCAACAAGAGATGTTCAGATCTGTACTCAATACAATCGCTGGCCGGAAGCTCATATAGGCTCTCCAACTCGTCATCCACCTTCTCCCAGAATGACCGCGCTGAATGATTTTTCGACAGTTCGCGGCGCTAGAAAGGATACATCAGCTGGGTATCCAACACAGCGAGAGGCCACTCACAATGAGAGATAGGCGATGAAATACACCAAGGGTAAATGGAATGTCGGGGGCAAGACCAAGGACCTTGGTGGCGAGAGCAATCATGGAGAGGGGGTTTCCTTCTTTTGGGGACATAGATTGCAGGACCTGAAAGCGTCAGTTCAAAGGCACAAGTGAATGTAAGTGATCTTACCATGCTCTTCACCGCCGAAAGCGCAATAGTGATATGTCGCCGAACAAACTTTTCGAAGAGATCGTATGCCGTCTCGTTATCTTCCGTTGGGAAGCCATGGCGCGTCGAAGAGGTCAAGACTTTCTGGGAAAGCATTAGCGATGAGTAACGAAGTATCTGCGCTGACACACTATAACAACACGGTGCAAAGCACCGGAATAGAACTGAAGGTCGGGCAGAAGGACCACCGATTGACAGTATTTGCGGATTTTTGCCTGTGAGAAGGCATTCAGGAGTTGGATGGGACAGGTACTCAAGATTATACCGTGTCAGTTGTCGAAGGGGTCCAATTTTCCGCCCGTTTGAACGGCATGATTCGACATCTCTTCCTGGAAGGCGAGGTTTGAAATGAACTGGATGATTTCTCGCTCTTCCGGGTGGGTAGTCTGCAAATGGTGAGGGTTACGATGGCAGAACGTGGTTGCCACCCACTTCGAAGAATGTCCGTGCAAGCAAAAGCCTTGAGTCGTCTTTAATCTTGGCCTTCTTGAGAATATGGCCTCCGAATGCAACGCGTTGTGCAACCGACAGAGGCGCTTGTTCACGAGTAATGGCCAGAGGGTGCAGGCGTTCGGAAGCGGCAGGAGTAGACAGCTGGCTCCCCACAGCGTTGGAGCTGCTGAGGGTGGCGAAGGATGGGAATGGAGACGATGGGGGGTGCGCGCGGAATGTACTTGACGAGCGTTGCTGCGCAGCCTGCCTCTGGAGTTCAGCAAGTGAGATTTGGTGAGACATGGTGCAGCGAGTTCGTGGATGGTGGAAGAGCAAAAGAGAGTTGTTGTGACCGTGCCACAGACTTGGAGGTTGTGCTTTGTTGCCTTCGTCTCGCCGCCACCATGCCCAAAGCCCGATGGCAGCTCCCCGAAGGTATGAGCTCTCAGTTTATTGCAGTAGTCCAGCTGAAATGCATGCGCCAGCCGAACGAGAAAACTTTGAAATCTCCGCCAACGGCACAAAAATGCGATGTCGAGTCTGTCGTGAGGAAGGGAAAGGTTCCGTTGGCAAGTGGATAATGGAAAAGAGTGTCAAGACGCACCTCCAGACGCGAACACATCAGGCATGCGCTCGGAGCCACCAGCAGCGCATTGAGCAAGACGTGCTTGAGGCCAATCGAGTGGACACTGCATACGACGCCGCTGCTCTTGACCAATATCAACCTTCCACTGTTTCAGCCCAACATTCCATCATCGAGACGATGTTTTCGCCGCTGGATGCGCTTGTAATGGATCTGGACATGCCGAATCTTGAGGATAATGCAGCAGATTTGCAGCGAATGACACGGTGTCGAGAGGCGGATAAAAACGCGAGACTGGCGGATGAAACGGTCCCAAGCGAAGAGGACACGCTCAAGAGCGCATACCAGCGGCTGCTGTCGGCGGCTCTGGCCAGAGGGGAGCTGGAGCAGGACGAAGATGAGGGTGAGAGTGAAGAAGCGCTTGATCCGATGTCGTCCGAAGATGACAGCGACGATCAGCTCGAAATCGACGAAGATTCTGACTTGTTCCCGTTCCCCACGAAGACGGTAAGATTACTGCTCCACAAATTCAATGCTCTCTAAATCTGTGTTACAGTCCCTGCTTCTTGATCTGCTTGACAATCTGCCCCGTTGTCGGTTCACAAATGCTCAACTCTCTGTTATCATGACGTTCGCCCGATGTTTGGGCGTTCCAAATGTGCCCAGCCTTAAATCCTTTCGAAAGCTTCAAGCATCGCTGCAAGCTCAATGTGCGAGCGAACCTGAACGCGTCCAATCATATCAGGGAAATATCTTCTATGTCAACAATATCCGAGAAACTATTGCTCGCGATCTGGCCAACCCGTTGACTGCCTCGAAGATCCAATGTTACCCAGAGGAAGTCGATCCTGGCATGCCCGTCTCCGAGACTTGGCAAGCTGACCGCTGGAAGGAATTTACTCCATCACAGCTAACTCCCATGTTCTCCCGCGGGAATAAGCGGTTTTTCATTAACGAGCTCGCGCAGTGCTTCGACGGGCAATATGTCATTCCGCTGACACTTGTGATACGCAACGGGGTTCTCCACACAGATGCTTTTGTCGTGGCCCAGAATATGGATGGGCAGTGGGACCTTACAGACAATACCTTGATAACATTTCCTGTCGACAATCTTGAATAGGATTATCTGGAATTGTTGACGATGTTGGAGACTGGAGCTGACTCAAAACTGAGTTGGACCGTTGAATCACACTCGCGTGTGCCGGAGATGCCCAATCCCCTGCGTGAAAAGGCCAAAACAGCTCATGGGGAAGATTGCGACCTGGCGGTCTTGATGGTCGAAGTATGGCAAGACGACGCATCAGGCAATGTCTCAAAGCAATATGACCCACATCTCATCACCTGTGTTCGCAATACTGCCCTTCCGGGTCGTCTTCTGCAGCAAGACTTTCATATCCACCATGTCTCAAGTTCGCAACATGCCTCGGCGGGAGAGCAGTTTGCAGCAGTTCGTGATATCATTCGGTCAACAGAGCAAGACCCGATCCAGTGCTTCGACTCCCATTGCAACAAGAATATTGCCATTATTGTACGAGCCCCAGGACTTCCAGCCGACAATCCCCAGCAGTCAATAGAAGCGAGTCATATTGGCTGCAATGCTAATTTCCCGTGTCGCAAGTGTGCATGGGGCGCGACGACCATTGACAAAACCTCTCCCGAAATATACCACGCATGCCATCTGTCGACTGGTGTTAAGCGGACCGCAAGTCAAATCAGGGACCGTTTGCAGACCCAGCTTGACCTTGCCACCAGGGGTGATGCAAAGTCAATCAAGGAGCTTCAAATGGCAACCGGCACCAAAGACAAGGTGACACAATATTGGATTGACAAGTCGCTGGCCCGTTTTTCTCAGATTCAGGACCAGCAGCCTGATATTACGACCGCTGAGATTTCAACCCAAGTGTCCGAGTGGCTGCAGCACCAACCAGGTGATAAAATGAATCCTTTGCTCGATATCACTGGTCTCGATCCCGCGCAGGACACACCGGTTGAGCTGTTACACACTGTACTGCTCGGTGTAATGAAGTACATCTGGCATTTTCTAAATACCGCCCAATGGTCCGACAGTCACAGACAGCTGCTCGCTATTCGGTTACAGTCAACCGATATCTCTGGACTTTCAATTCCTCCCATCCGTGCTGCGTTCATGATCCAGTACCGAAATAACCTCATCGGAAAACACTTCAAAACGCTGATGCAAATTCTCGCACTCCATACACATGATATATGCACACCGGAGCAATTCTCTCTTATTCTTGCGGCTGCAGATCTTGGCGCCCGTCTTTGGATACCCGAGATTGATGACATGGAGAGCTATTTGGCAGATCTCAACATTGGTATTGCCAATTTACTGGATGCCTTTGATGTCGTTGATCCACTTCGCATCTTGGTCAAGATTAAACTCCATCTATTGGCACACTTACCGGACGACATCCGCCGCTTTGGCCCCGCCATCCGTTTCTCAACCGAAGCATTTGAAGCATACAATGCCATTTTCCGGGCCTGCTCTGTTCGAAGCAATCGACAAGCCCCCAGCCGTGACATCGCGCGAAAACTGGCATCTATTGAGCGTGTGAAGCACATTTTTGCTGGTGGTTACTGGTACAACCAGCAATGCGGCAAATGGGTCTGTGCTGCCGAAAGTGTACAGGAGCTTCTGGTCACCATACCTGTCTTCCAGCGGCATCTGGGTTGGGTGTCGCCCAAACTCGTTGAATGCGGCACTGTTCAATTGATCTCCGAAAAGCGTCAACCCACTGTTGATTGGGCAGGAAGCGGTTACTCACCATATTGGCGTGACCAGCTGGGTCCTTTACCCACTCCCAATAGCCGGTGGCGCTCTGCCCTCACTGTTGCAGCAAAGAATGGAGATCTCGTAAGACCCTTATGCTGGGTTTTTGCGCTTGCGTCGCCTGGGGAGTATATTCTCGGTCGTGTCACCAAAATCCTGGTTGCAGAACAAGTTCTCATTGTGCTCGAGCGCTTCGTGTGCACAGAAATTGTCCATCCCGACTTCAAGTGGCCTGTCATACGCCGACCCAATGGACCAGAGATCATCAACGGAATGACATCATATGTCCTTCTTAATCCACCAGCAATTCAGTTTGTGTGCTCCGTTGCACATGATTGTCGCCGCGGAGCTTGTCAACCTGTGGCTGGGGGCAAGGAGCGGCAAGAACGCGAGGATACAATCAGGGACACAAGTCTGCTGAAGCATACTGATGACGACCGATTTGTCTTGAATTTGGCTGCTTTTCACAACTTTGCAGAGATTCGACGAATTCTTCCTCGAGAGTACACATGTTTGAAGTTGTTGCATGATGACCGGGAGTCCTTCCATCGTGTCACTGCGCTGAAAGCACAAGACCTGCGAAAAACACGCCAGCAGAAGACCGCAGCCAAGCGGAAGGCCAAGACAGCCGAGAAGAAAAGGATAGCAGCAGAAGCGGCGACAGAAGCGGCTGAAACAGAGGCTCAGCAAGGCACAGAGGCAGATACTGCAGCTCAGAACCAAAAAAGGCGGGCTAAGGTTGCCGAGAAGAAGCGCTTGGCTGCTGTTGCAGCAGCAGAGGCGGCGGCAGCAGAGATGGAAGAAGAGGACAGTGATCCTGGGAGCAATTCTGAGAGCGAGGACGACTCTGACAATGATGTTGACTATGTTCCACAAGGGAGGATGATCCCGGGGGGGGACAGTGAACGCACTACCCGTGCACAAGCAAGGGCTCATGCAGTATAATATTTATGATTTATTTAGGCAATCAATGAATACTCAGCTGGATGTTTAGTCAAAACTATATACTGATGTCTAAGTAGATGTCTCTACAAGAGTATGTGAATAATAACCTGAGCTCAGGTCTTAGACATCCAACTGATGTCTGCTGATGTCTGAGTGATATTCACCGTTTTCTCTACCTGACCTTACCTGTCAGACTTGTACTGACCTGTGGATGGGTTGGTGGTGTAATAAGAAATTAATACCTAGATATATACTGAGGAAGAAAAAGAAAATTCTGGCCATCTCTCTGATCAACTTAGTTCACTAATTATATTTAGTAGAAAGCCTATTAAGTTTAGATCTTATGTTTAGCTTGATTTTTTTTTTATCAAGGTAAATGTAAGCCGAGTGTTTACAAAAGATTTCCTATCAATTGAAGACATAAAAAGTCTAGATAAAATCTAAGTGTTATCATACCTAATAGATCGCTGGGATAGAACCCACTAATAAGAACACTACATCTATGCTCTGAATATTATTTATGCTGGGTATGTCAGGAAAAGTGCCTATGTTGATTTGCTAGCTGGGCTTGATTATCTATAGGCTAGAAGATATCCATACACAATAAATGACTATAGCTGTTTTTGAGGTGTCCCTAGCCATATTTAGTTAAGATATAAGAAGCAGTGAATATTTCTTTCTAGGGCTTGGGACCCCCTCCCCCCCCTCCCTATATCCATGATAGGTATCTTGACAGCCCCTTTCTTCTCCCTTTTGCTTGCAAGTCACAACATGCCACCCTGCCCAGCGATGTGCAATGGGCCCCTGTCTTTCGGGATCATCACCACCCATCGGCTGCCGCGGGCCGACTGCCGCCATCATCATCATCCGCAGAGTCCCAAGCCCTCAAGCTATAAACCTGGCTTACATAGTTACCTTTAGATCACATGTCCTTCAGTCACTCACCTCTGTACCCTGTCATAGTCCTCGAATACAGCAAGATTCTGTTGTATTGGTTTGGTTTGCCTCAGTGTTTCCTGGTTGGGCCACCAGGTTTCCACAAGCCCGGCCTGGCTAAGCCTGGCCCGGCCCTCCCAGGCCCTGATGAGTCGTGAGTTGTTGAATGTATGTGACTGTGAATGCGCAGGGGTCTCTCGGGCTCCTCACAAATTGCCTCCATACACCGTCTTCCTCCACTGCGCCCATGCACATCACGGAAGTGAATCTGCACCAGTAGCTCCCAGATCATGTGATGCCCGTTCACTGTAGGCATGGGAACTAGCAAGACAATAGAGTAAAAGGAATTTTTTGTGCCTGAGAAGGTGTTATTGCAGTTTGCAAAAGTGTTAGCACAACCCCGATCAGGAATGATCATACTGTTTTGAGATAGGAAAGTAGGTGATTTGTTTCTCTGTAGTTACCACACCTATAGGCATGACTCTGATACCTAAATGCATCCTTTTTCGCGGCCAAATTTATGGGCCAAAAATTAAACCTGTCACTAGATAATATTGGATTTAGGTCATCTCTCAGTGCATCAATTCTTTCGCAAAGTAAAAACATCCAAACACATAATATTGAGAAGAAAAACACACACCATGTCTGTGACAGTTGGGATCAAACCCCAGCATCAAACCCAAAACACCGTGTTTGGGCTTTTACCGAATGCATTTTAAATAGGGAGTTGTCATGCACGTCACGGTCAGTCGGTCCGGTGCCCCTGAATTTTTTAGTGCATATATTCCCTAATTTTTTCTACCTTCCCCTTGGATGGAAAAGTGGAACAATGAAAACTGAGTCTTAACAGGCAGGGCGGCCCGCGGCGAACGGGCGCAGGGCAGTGCTAAACTAGTTAGTGTGATTTCGAGAGCAATGACTGTGTGTGCCGGTGTTTGCAGGAAAATTGAGGATGAAGCTTAAGGGTTGGGCTGTACACTGGCTAAGACATGGTACAGAGCCACGCACTTGGACAACATCATTCCCATTCACACGCTCTCTCTACATATTATAAAATCTTCAAAATGTGCCACCCACAACCCCGCCGGGAACGCTGATCCTCCCTGCGTCCGGGACACCCCCGACCGGCACCGGGACGAGCCCCTGCGGAACATTGATCGTCCCGGGATCCACGGCGCCGACCGGGACCGGGACGAGGCCCTCCGGCGGCGTGATGACCCCAGGGTCCGCGGGAGGGAGCACAACGGTGCCGTCGAACGGCGCGGTCGGGCCGTTGCCGAGCGCGGCGCCGGGGCCCCCCTTCGCGCGGATGATATCGCCCAGGATGCCGAGCCCGCCGCTGAGGAGGCCGTCCGCGGCCCCTTCCGCGATGGCGGTGCCCACGCCGGAGGTGGAACCTGAGGCGGGCTGCGCTGGCGCTGGCGCGGCGGGGCGGGCGGGCCGAGCGGAGGCCGGGGCGGGACGGGGAGCGGCGGGACGGGCCTGTATGGGGTTTGAGTGAGTGCTTCGGGCTTAAGTAGTGAGTAGAAGGGGGGGCGTACGCGGCCGACGCCGAGGCCGCCGCGGCGCGGAGCGCGTGTATCGAGCGCCGTGTCGACGTCGTAATCGGTGTCATGGATGATTGCGTCTTCGATGATGTCGGTGTCGAGCGCGGCGACGCTGTCATCGCGGCGGGTGCGGAGCCCGACGGGCGCGGCGATGGCGTGGAGTGATGCGGCGAGGAGGACGAGCGCGGCGAGGGAGAGGCGGAACTGCATAGTTGAATGAGAGAGAAGAGAAGATGCGACCGGCGCTGTGAATGAAAGATCTGAAAAGGTCCGCTGAGGGAGGGTGAAGAAGAACGAAGACAACGCAGGACTGACGCATTGTTTTATACCTCACGGTTCAGCCACCGGCAAGTCCGTCGTCGCCGAACGCCGCCCGGGCCGTCACGCCTGCTGGCAGACCCCGAACTGCGCACCCTCCGCCGCGAGTGGGCCCGGTCAAAACGGCGTCAACCTTGAGTAGCACTGCCGTCATCGATTTGAGCCAATCAAATGTGCTGCGAAGTCCGCGGAACTGACATCGTCAACGGTATCAATTGATCAGCGTGACTCATCACGGCTGTTGTTACCCAGTAACCGCCATGTCCGAGTTCTCGCTGCCCTCCCCCACTTTCGCACTCCCGCAGGAGCTCGTCGATATCATCGTACCCATCGTCGCCGACCACCGCTCTCTCAAGGCCTGCTGCTTGGTCTCCCGCAGTTTCTGTGCGCCAGCTCAGCGCCAGCTCTTCGCCTCCCTGGAACTCCTGCCCTCCTCCCGTGCGTGGCAAGAGGACCACCTCGCGCTCGCCAGCCTCGACGCGCTGCAAACACAATCTCCGCAGATCAGCGGGTATGTCCAGCGGCTCACGATCGACCTGGGCGGCCCCATCGCCGGTGTCCCTGCCTGGATCGCCGACGAGGCGTTCCCACGGGTTTTGCGTCGCTTCGACAGGCTCACAACGCTGGTCCTGGACTCCGAGCTGCATGGCCTACGACTGCCGAGACAGCCCCTCAAGTGGACGCTGCTTCCGCCCCCGGCACAAGCGGCCCTGGCGCACATCATGGTGCAGCCAACGCTCAAGTCCCTGACCCTCCGTGGCATCCAGTTTGCGGTCTTCTCTGAACTGCGCGACGCACTCGCAGGCCGCACACAGCTCGGACAATTGTTGGCGCACAATGTATACCTGAAACGTGCAGACGACCCGCAGTCTGACAGCGCGGGCACCGGTACCCTCTTGCTCGATTCATTGACCATTCGCACGGACGATGCTCGGTTTATCCGACATCTGCCGACACTGTTGCACATCCCGGCCCTGCAGGGCCTTAAGCTCCCGCTCCCCAGTAAAAAATGCGAGGACGCGGCCAGCTTCGTGCGTGACGCCCGGGCCCTCCAGACGCTGACCATCAACCTCCAACATGAAGAAAGTGCGTACCCTGTTTCTTTGCTAAATCTTCCCTAACCGATCACAGCGAAAACCTGCGGCCTGGCGCTGGACAACCTCCGGATGCTCGACACCCTCGAGATCCACTTCGACGTGTCCTCTCCCCGCCGCAGGACACCCCGGGCCGGCGCCTGGGTCCTCGGCCTTCTCACACCGCTTCTGCAGCACGGGGAATCCGCGCTCGCCGAGCTGACACTCAAGATTGACGCGCCCGCGGCAGACCCCGACAGTGTCCTTCGGACGCTCGGGCCATTTGTGCCGCTCTTTCGCGCTTGGGCCGCCGCTCAACAGCCGGAGGAGATGCCACTGCTGACCTTGCGTGTGCTGATGCTGGACGTCGACGATGACGACATCGCGCGCGTAGAGCGGGGCCTGAGCAGGCTCCTGGAGCCGCTGGACCTCGAGACGGACATAGAAGTGGCGTAGGCTGCACTACAAGTCACTGTCGTACGTTTGCTTTCGGAAAAGATAGGAGCAATCTCGAACTGCCAATCAAGGACGCGAAAACTTTGCGATACTGGCGTTTCTCGAATAATTACATTGAAGGTACAAACAGTGCTCAATACCTGGCATTCGGGGTGCAATACTCCGGCCTCGTCGACGGCGGGAAGGCATCAGTGCCGTACGCGTAACTTATCTCGGAATCGTCATATCCTTCTTGGGTGTTGAAAGGAGCCGCCACGCCGGGCGTCAGCGCGAGATTCGGATATGGCGTTCCGTCGGAGTATCGCGGCCGCGTGTGCGCCGGTGGCGGGCCGGTGTACGGCAAACTGTTGCCGTAAGCGACATGAGGCCATGCCGCCGCGGCGTATGGCATGTCGAAAGTGTGCTGATATGTCAATGCCGGCGCCGCGCGCGGATATCCCGCGGCCACCGGCGGGAGAGGCGGTGGGTAAAGCTGGAGATGTAGCGCCAGCGCTACCTCGTCTGCGTCGGGGGCGGGGAACTCGCAAACAAGGCCCTGTGATTCGCAGCGGGTGCATGTCGCGTTGTTCGGGTTTTCGGATGGCGTGCACTTGAGGTGTATTGGTCAGAATGCATGACATTGACATGTGGGTCAATGGTTACCTTGCGCTTCCGCCGACGGCAATTGATGCATGCCTGTGCCGTGCGAGCGCGTTTCGGCGCGTCGTCGGATGTAGCGGCCCTGGAGCTCGAATGGGAGCGGTGGTGGGTAGAAGTGCCAGTGGAAGGCATGATAGTAGTGGTGGTGGTGTCGATCCCCCTCCTCCGAAGCCCCCACTCTATATACCGTGCTCGACGGATACGAAGCAGGCCCTAGCCGCGTAGTTGACTAACGTCGCTCGCGCGACCAAGCAATGACCTGCAGCGACGGTCGATTATGTGCTGATCCTACACTCCAAGCGTCGAATCATTGCCCATCTTACCTCAGCAAGATGACATGCTCGGTAGTTTGTCCCTAGGTGAACACTCCTGCTCGCCAGCGCTGCGAGCGCTTGTGCGCACAGACTTCGGAAGGGACGGAAAGAGGCCGAAAAGGCTTTGCCGCCTTTGCAGACCCGACATTCGCGGGGACGCCGGATGTGCGAGGCGGTGCAACGTCCACAGCACCTGATAAATTACCCCCGACAATCCCGAGGACGCAATTTGTCCCCGTAACCGGATTTGCGTCGTTGTTTCCCCTCATCTTTGGGATACACGAGACTCCAAAGCCGGTTTACATATTCCCATCTTGCTGGCGTCCTCGTCACTCTAGCGTCTCTGGGAGCAGACAAGAATGCTCGGTGCAAGTGTATCACGCCGCTCGCTTGAGTCAAGACAGTGCCGCAGATCGTCGCTGTGTGTGATCTGCCAACAGATGGTTGTCTGCTTCCGTGAATCATGCCAAGCGAAGTGACGTGGTTATGGAGTCACTTTCTCTCTCTCTCTCATCCTCAACGCGCGCCTTGCCCGACGTCCCCGGGATACACTGTGGTCGAGATTTACTTCACGCGTACATTTGGTTGAGCACTCTGCTGGTCGAGGCCCGCTGGCCATTGGACGGAGAGCCGCGAGGTGTTGACCGTTTGGAGACCGACCGGAAAGTAGAGTCAGCACAGCAGGCGCGTGTATCACACTTGCTTATGGACGACCCAACTAACTGAAAGAATACCATTGCTTTTCACAAACACGCTTCTTCTGTGTGCCCTTGTCTCGACCATTCACATCTGCCGCTCGTACAAGATCTCCGCAGGCCCACTGTCGCGTCCACGTCGTCAACGCACCGCCAGCGCTAGACTTAGAAATGCTTACCGTTTTTCGACGCCCTGAGAGCTGTATGAGAAGCGCCCCAAGTACAGTAAAGACAAGGAACACGTACATCTTCTTTCCACGCGATCTGGGCCTTTAACTCTGTCGTGCCGAACGAAAACACCACCTCGAAACTGAATCGGTAGTACATTCCCCTGGGCCCAAATTGAGGGCGGAGGCTCTGAGCGGCTTGGTGTGTATGGGCGTGGATGCCGCACATTGTCTGATATTTCTCTGCGAAGGAGTCACAACCCATCACTCGAGATGATATCAGGACGGACCGGGCTCCACGTCGCGCCATCGTGGTTTGGAGTTCTTCCCCTGATATCGAAGAAGGTCCACCTCAATTGAAGTAAGGTGGGAAACCTCAGTCGCTAAGCGCGAAAAAGCCCCGCGAAACTCTTGTGTCTCCCTGACGCTAGTACCCTGATCAGATTGAGGGTCAATCCAATCCAAGAGAGGGAAAGGGATACATACTCGTGCTAAAATCACGCGGAATTGGCCGCCGATGGACAGTCGTCCGGCGTCGTTCACAAATCGTGTCTCTGAGCGCCTACAATGCTCAACGTCATACTCATCGTATGAGGTATACATCATAATCCCATAGAAATCCTTGGCGATCCGTGACTTGACAAAACGGTCAATGAAGAAGGAGACTGCGCCATCAGAAACAGCCTTGTTTCTGGGCGAAGAACTGATGAGTTAGATCGCAAAGTAAGATACTACGCACACATGGGCATCTGGACGCGAGACAACGAGGTTCATGGGGGCCAGTCGACGCTTAAGCTCGGAATGGAGCCAATCACTGGCGGCAAACCCACCAACGAGGAGAACATCCTGTTCAATATTGGTTAAGTACTTATTCGTACAGGAGAGTTGGAAAGGCAGACCGATATCGGAACTTTGGCCGACGACTGTTGAATGGCAATGGCCTGAACAATTGCGTCAATTGACGGTTGAAAGAAGGCCGCAACGACGGTTCTAAAATGGATGTTAGTCAACCCAGGAGTATGGTGACATCCAACGGGAAATACCCGGGCAGCTTCATCTGCCCGTTAAAAATGTTAAACGCCGCATCTTTGTCCCGCAAAGTCCCAAAACGGATGTACGACATCTCGCTCGGCTCTCTGAACTTGAGCTTCGTGGTTTGATCAAAGCACTCCGCAATCTCGTCAACGGCCTCGTGGTACTTGGAATTGCGTAACACGACTGAAATGAGAAGTATGAATGGGGCAATTGCAGATTACGCGGTGGACTGACCGTTCAGATACTCGCGAGCGTTCTTTGTGACGAAAACAGAGCCATCCATGAGACCTACGAAAATTCGGGTAAGAAGCCTGGGGAGCGTCGGATGAAGGGGGGCAAATGGGACTTACATGCGGTCTGGGCGATTTCCTCAAATGTGGAGCGTTTACCCGGCGAAGAGGTCTTACGATAAGCGCTGATGTCAATGGTTCCGCCTCCTGCATCGACGATTATGACTCCCTTCCCCGCCTTCAAGCCGCTTCAGCCATATCCACCCCATGAAGCAAGGGAAATACCAACGTTCAAAGGATTAGTCGCAAGTCCATTCACGATGCAGAAGTTAAGGCTTGCTTCTCCCTCCGTCACGAAGTGGAGTCTTCGATGCCCTCGGGAGCTATCGGGCACGAGGCGCGCGTTGACTGCAGCCTGGCGCAAGTCGGCCTGTTGCTCGCCCTCCCAGCCATTGGGATGTGTCACCACAAACTCAATGCTGTCTTCAAACGTCGTCCACATTAGCTCGCCGCCAGGAATATGTTCGATGATAAAGGTTCGGGCACAGCGGAACACATATCGGAGGAAGTCGCTGAAGATATCCACCGCAAGTTTGTTCGTGGGAAGCGGTGGAAAGTCGCGCCCTGGACTGGTGATTGCCACAGAATTTGGTCGCATATGAAGCTTGAACCTGAATTGCGTCAGGTAATGCCAGTGGTGCTCAATCTCGGACACTAGATACGACTTACCACGATACCATCTCCCATGCCTGCTTGATAGCCGTCTCTCTAATGCTTTCGTCCATAGCTTCAGCACCAAAAGCTTTTGCCTGACCACGCTTGTCGTAATAGACAATGGTGGGCACCTTCGAGTCTCCACCAAGGGTCGGCTGAAGCGGAAATCTGCGCTGAGAGATGAATCACCAGCTGCACTATCTGATCGTCGAAAGCACCTTGTCACCGGTACAATATCTGGCTCCCGACCAGGCTCGAGCACGCTGACGGCTACTTAGTTCCATCCGAGGCGTTGTGAGGAAAATGCACCAGTAGGAGATGCCCGAAAATGTTGTCCCTATGTCGATTCCAAGAACGAGCTTGCGTTGGTCACCATTGTAAGGTGGGCGAGCCGGCATCGTGAACGGGGAAAACAGAAACCTGTCGAAAGCGGACACGCGCTTTTAATCGGAGGTATATCGGCGAGGAACAAGCACGGTGGAGCTCAGCTTAAGCCTGAGGTTATACAGCACAAAGTAAACGTGCATCCTGCATCAGATCGAGATTGAGTCGTGGGAGACACCTGAAATGAATCTCAAGTCAAGAAGCACAAATTCGTGTAACTTACCCCCAGACCACCACATGTCGGCTTTGGTCGAGTCTGCGGTCCAAATCGTCCAGCAAGTCTCCAGCTTCGTCGGTCTTCCCAGTCAGGAGCGAGCGAATCCAGAGAAGGGAATGGTCAACGAAACCAGCACACCGTCGACAGAGTTGGCAACGGCGACTGCCCTAGGGATCCGCACGAGGAAAGGTCCTCGCAGCTATCGTGCTGTGGTGCTGAATGAAGACGCAAACAAAGGAGGTGGACACGCCGAGCAACAGCCACTGGCTGAAGCAATCGACTCGACACAGGCGATCGAGGCGGCCGCCCATTGCAAACAAGTCTCCGCTGACCAGACGCGGATTGCCGATTTGGAGAGTGTCGTCAAGAGGCTACGCGCAGAGCTTGACTTGTCAAAGGAGCTCAACGCTCGGAGCGCTACCATCGCTCCCGACCGTGTCTCCTCTGCAGATGTCACCCGCAAACTTGCCGATCTGCACTCCGAGATTTTCCAGATCGCGGCGGCCCTATCCGACTCTGAAGCATATCCGCGCGCACAAGCAACTCCTCCGCACACACTCCTGCAGAATGTCGGAAAACACTTGTTCAGCCTCGTCGGTGATGAACTGGCAAAGTATCTTGCGAGTACGGAGTCTTCGAATGTCCCAGATATCGTCGTCCAGATGCTGCTGCAGGCTGTGATAATTGACTGGGCTTATCACTTGGTTGGGTCGTGGAGCTCTGGAGTTGGAGGGAGTAGAATGGATCACATGTTTCGGCGTCTGTTCAGGGAGGTATGGAAGAATGGTCAGTCCGTGCGATAAGTGACTTGATGTAACTCACCCGGCGCATTCAGAGGACTCAAAAACAGCATCTCACTGGAGAGTGACGACACGAAAACATGCTAGGACTCTCTTTGCCCCGGAAAGGTACGATATGCGGGCGCAACTTCTCTCTTGCCTCGCAGCGTTCCTTGGTTTGTGGAGCCCGACGTGGACCATAGAGACGGTCGGAATAGCTGTGGGCGAGAGGATTGCAGCCGTCGTTGCCGCCGCACTCGATCTGAATGCCGTGCTCGGGGCCCAAGTAGTGTCGGATGATTTGGAGGTCGTGATGACGCGCTCTGGGACGCCCTTTGATCCCCAGGCGATGGAAAGCATGGAAGGACACGATTCGGGGAAGGTTGAAGGCATGGAAACGCGGGATTCAGTCATCTTGTGTGCCGAGCTCGCTCTTGTCAAGGAACGGGTGAACCGTGAAGGGGGCAGCGTGCAGGAAACACGCACCGTGGTTGTCAAGAGTAAAGTGTTGCTGAGATCCGAGCTACACGGAGTGCTTGAGTAGGCGGCTTTGCGACTACTCCTTAGGAGTACTAGTAGGTACCGTTTGTACACAGGTTGGCAATGAGAAGAGAGCGAAGAAGAAGAAGAAGAAGTGTGACAAGATAGTCACAAGGGTGCTTCTTTCTCCCACACAATGACATAAGTGTGATGATCATCCCAATCACATTGGGGTTTCGGTGAAAAAAGTGGTGTGAAGCTGAACTTTTTTTGTGGCAGATATGGACCAAAATAACTGGGGGCCGATTCTTCCATAAATTATGGCCCTGATTTTGGTGCACATGACTTGGACTTTACCAAACTCAACATTTACTGGGGCTTTAATAACATCCAGATTGAGGAAGGAAACCAGCGGACTACTGTACTCGTCTGTATAACTACAACCATCACATGACCATAACACACCTGAAATGCAACAACGCGCTGAGTGTTATGCGTTACAATAGCCCAACTGGACAACCAGAAGATCAACTAACCTGAGTTTCAAATATCAGGCCATCACTGTGCTTGATCAAATTTGAAGCAGAAAAACTACAGAAAAGTGGTATAACAGTATGGTATAAAGATATGAGACTATACTCATATCAGAACACATCAAGACAATATAACTACCTATATACTAGTGAAAAAATTATCTGAATTTAGAAAGAATTAGAGGATATATTGCTGACACACGGGAAATTCAAAAATTTCTTTTCCCTCTTAAACATGTATTGAATATACATATTTAGATACATGTTTCCTCAACCAAGAAATATGATATATTAATCATTTCATAAATGACTCTTCTTTATCAAGCTTAGTATGATCCAACTCCATGAGGATGGGAGCCGGAGGTACCGAGACGGGGGCGCGGGCCGCGGGTGGCGCAGGTGCGGCCACCGGGCGGATGGGGAACGGAGTTGCCAAACGGGCGATAGGGAATGCGCCACGCGGAGCCCCCGAAAGGCGTCCGCAGGGAGGTCCCTTTGATGAGCTTCGCCCACACCAAGGCTTCATATTGGCGGAAAGCCCGAGTGCGCCAGCCCAGATAGTCACGGAGGTCTGGGGGGGTCGTTCGAGGACGTGATGCCGTTGTTGATCAGGGGGTCAAGTCCATGGCGGGACTTGGTCACCTTAACCAACGTGTCTTCGAATCCGGCGAGGTCCATTAGGTCCTCGAAGTCGTCGGTGTATCCGTAGACGTCCCGCGTTCCCATATGATAACCCGCGCTTTCTAACTTGGCGAGCACGAGGTCTTGCTCGTTCTCCTCAACGAACCGAAGGCGAAACTCGGAGAGGAATAGGTTCCATCGAGGGAAGAGGAAAGGGGTTTTGCTTCCATGACACTCTGCTCACTGGTGTGTAGGTCCCTCCGCCATATAGGACATGGCGTAGCGGACGGCCTTTTCTTCGCTCGGCTCTCCGTTGACCACGAAGGCCTCCGGGGCAAGCCGGGCGTAAGTCTTGACCGCGTATAGGAAGGCGCGGCCGCGTTTGCGATCTCCGTTAAACGCAAACGGGGGGTTTGGCTGTAAGACCAGTTTTGAGGCGACAGTAATGTCACCAAATAACGCATCCGCGTCGGGGGCATTCGGAGATGCCGAAGGCGGTTCGGGAGCTGCCGAAGGTGGTGCGGCAGCGGAAGCCTGGGAAGCAAGGTGGGTAAGGATATTAGTTAGGTTGTCTAGTTTCGCCTCGAGTGCGTCCATGCGCGTGTCAGCGTCCAGAGCAGCTCCGGTAGACATAGCGGGTGCAAAGACAACAAGAGCAGAGGAGGAGGGGTCAAGTGGCAGGGGCGGTGACGAGGGGGGTACGGACTCGTAAGCCTGAATCAGTGCCAAACCTGGCAATCTTGACCGGTTAATCCCGTAGAGAGTTTCTTCTGCTGTAAGGGCAACCCTGGAGACTCCGACGAAAGCCTAGCAGGGGAGGATCCAAAGCGTGAATAAAAGCTACAGAAATACACGGAGGGACCGACCTAGCAGGGGAGGATCCAAAGAGAAGAAACTCTAAGGGTCTGCCTGCTAGGGCGCCAACTATATACTGGTCGTCCGTAACTGCCGACGTAGAGCGGAGAAGGCCTGAGCGGCGTCGCAGGCTCTGTCCCAAGGTGATCGTTGGGAGGGTCTTGACGGATCGGTGATTGTGCGGGCGAAGGAGGCCGTGGACGATGGTTGGGGTGGGTCGGAGTGTCCGAGGGGGCGCCGGTCGGATGCGCCTCGGATGCGTTCGGAGGGTCCGAAGGAGGCCGAAGCGGGGGTTCCCCTGACAGTTAGCAATGAATAAATGAGGAAGCGGCAAACATACAGCACCACTGCTAGTGCCTCTGACACTTGTGTGGTCAACCATTTTGATATCTGAGTCGGTGCTGGTTGAAGTGTAGGTGGCGAACTCGTCCTCGACAAGATCTTTGGCCATGTCAATCCAGTCCTGATCCCAGTTGCGTGTTCTGAAGTATTGAAGCTTCAGACTGGGGTGGAGAACTTGAATGATGTCAGTTCTGCGGTGATCAATTGAATAACCATGTACCGCGAGTAGTATTTATTAAAGGTGGCCTTCGCGAGATGCAGTGCCTTGCATATTGCGGGGTCAACGATTTGGATGTCAACACCGGACGCAACAGTAGTTGTGATGAGATCATCAATCTTATCCATGGTGGGAATAACGTTCGCAATGGTGCTTTTGTTGTCGGCCGAAAATATGGTAGTTGCATTCTTAAAAACCTGGTTGGCAGTTCAGGTTTTTAATCCCCAGTAACAGCATTGATGATGTCCTTGTATTCGAGGGCAACAATGAGCATGTTGTACGTTGAGTTCCATCGGGTGCGCACATCCCACGGAATGAGACAAACACACATCTTCTCCTCGTGACACGCTCTCTGCCAGGCGGGCAGGGTAATAGTCGTCGAGTTCACGATGAAGAATGCCAGCTTTTGAATCTAAAAGCCTGTATAAGTAATGGAAAGTAACACAAGTGAATATGCACCCTAGATATCGCAGTCTTGAGCACCTTGGATGACTTGGTATATGTTGCTTGCTGTTTGTCACTGAGGTTGTCGTATGCATCACCGTCCTCGATATCGTCCGAAAGTGCGGTCAGAATTGACATATCTAAGCCCAGTTATCTGCAACCGGGTAAATCGAAGCAAAACAGACTGTCGCCGGTATCCGCAAGATCTGGAAGCGAGTCGACATCATCCTCTAACTTGAGTGGTAGTATATCATCATCTCCGAAGTCTGAATCTCGATTTGTCGTTGACTCCTCGACCCCGAATACGAGTTCGCAGAACCCTACACTCCGCCTATCCGTCGAGGCGACAGATCTTAAGGAGGGGTTGGTGTAAGGGGAGAGCATGTGATGTAACAGCTGTGACTGATCACGTGACTGGTCCGTGCGCAGATAGCCCTGTACTTAAGTAGTTGGCCGTGGGGTTGTTCCCCCGGCTTTGGTATCAACTAGGCACTTGGACCCTCATCCCCTGACACCTAGATGCTCTTTATCGCCAGAGCGTGGCTTGTCGGAAGCTTAAAGACCTCAGTGGCTGAACCACTTGACAAATGAATTGTATGTAATCTCCCCCCGGACTGGTAGATAATCAGAGATGCTTGAATAAGGTTGCCGATCCTGCAATTACTAGCACAATGAGTGTCAAATTGTTAGAATATACGCTATGTACAGGACTAGGTCTCTGTTTCTCTAAAGGAGTGCATATGGACGACCCATATGAAACACATAAGTCGCTGAAGAGTGTCACGGTGATACATCAACTGACCGTTGTACAATGTGGTTAACAAGGGGGACATCCTCTACATCAAGGTCAATCAAGGGAATGATGGCATGGAGCGTGGAGCCATCCACAGTCCCACCATGCTTGACAACAACTAATGCACCTGACAGAGTTTTGATAGTGGTGGGTAGCAAGGCAGAAATTGCCAAGTTCAGGGTGAAGTGCGTCTGTGAAAGCAATGCATCAGCATGGTGAAGCCCAGGTTGCCTAGTTTTGCAATCTTGACATAGGGCTTTGGGCATTCTGGACAGTCTAAAGTAGAACAGGCAAAGAACTTCGATAGTATTGTGCTGTTCGAGAGCAAGGTGTACAGTGTGTTGGTGTCAAGCGCAATTGTGGTGGGAGCTATGTCGCCACTCGGAGGGTAGTGCATGACCCAGAGATTTTGAACGAGTTCATACCTGTACAGCCATACAATTGAGACGCAACCTGTATCCCCATTGTACAGAGTCCTGTATAGGAAAACGGAGCCTGCTGTAAAATGGGTAAAACTGCAATAAGTTTATCTGGATGAGTACCATTGGCACATGGAACACACCTGCCCAGCCCACGGTGCTAGATCGGCGGCCAAGAGATAACACCTCAACGACTTGCCTCCTCTCCCCCCTACAGCCTGGTTCTGACTCGAATCGTACCTAACCAGCTGGAACTGCAACCACACCCCGCCTAAACAAAAGAGGGGAACACTTCTGAAGAATACAAGCCCTGGATTCTGACAAACCCTCTCCTATCATTCTTAATAACCTTTCTTTAAATTCTCCCCAATAATAAAATCCTTTTCCCTTAAAACACATTTAGAAGGGTAGTAGATATCTGTGCATATTGCAAAAAAAGAGAAAAAATAAAAATAAAAAAAAGAAATGAGTAGCATGAAGCCTGAGCAAACGGGACAGTCAGGGAAGCATACAGGCAAAATTCTGAGTGGGGGCCTAATAAATGTACTAGCTGGAGGTTGGCATCCAATGAGCAAATGAATGATAAGGCAGCTAACCCTCAAGTACGGGCATCCAGTAACAGCCCATCTACTAAATAGACAGCTTATATTTCTTGTGTGGACCTCTATTATCTACCACAAACTTACCTATAGGCTGTGAAGAAGATATACCTGAGCAATGTGCATCAATAGATAAAAAAGAAGTAACTGAGAGCTGCTGATGCAAATACTATAGGGCCATGTACCCAGATCTGATCCTGTGCTCCACTATTATACTAGCCATTAGTAAAGATAATCTACCAGTTACTATCCCAAGTGGTCTACAGGGTATATATAGCCTGTTCTGAGAATTTGTGTCTGTTTCAGGTGCACTTCAGCTCTGTACCTCTACTAACCGCAGTTCTTGTGCCTTCAACCGACCTGGCATGATAATGCTGACCTTCTTCCATGGCGCATGGTGTAGTTGGTTTATCACGCCCGCTTAGCATCGGCGCTCTCCTGGAGGCACCCTAGTCGCTGCGGGAGGTGTTGGGTTCAATTCCCAATGCGTCCAGTTTTGCCCCGCTAACTTGAGTGTTATCACCAGGTGCTCGGGCGCTTTCAAGGCGGCTTTGTCCCGTTCATTGCATGTGCATATCCGACGGGTGTTCAGAAGAGCGCGGCTCCTTTTAATTTCTCCCACGCCTTCCTCCTCCATCATTTTCCCGCAGATATCTCCATTGTTTCTCGTCACTGCCTACTTATTTCCAGTTTATTACTCCCTTCCAAAGTTATCCCGCCCGTTATTTTGTCTGTACTGTTTACTTCTGTTCTCGCTGTGCCTCCTGAGTGTGGACAGAGACACATTCGGTCACGTATCACGTTACGGCGTCACATCACGATCGGCCACGTCACCGAGCAAAATTTCTTCTCTTCTTCCTCCCACTGTCCCTCATACATGGCACACCCGGTGCGCACTCGCCGGAGCCTACGATTAGCTCAACCACGCGGCTTGTCACTCCACGCGCGTCCCTCAGTGCCGCCTGGAAGCTCCAGCGGCCAAAACGACGCCCCGGCACTTCTCCCGCCGTCGACATGCTTTTCTGTTGGCTCGGCCGAGGCAGGTGTTGCCCGAGGGAATGTTCTTGAGAAGGTGCGTTGGACGTAGCGTATTTTTGGTGCTGCTGACTCACGCCTGGCTGGCAGAAGCTGGCGACGTCATGCGGGGCCCTTGCGATTCCACCGCGTAGCTGGGGAGGCTCGGGCCCGGGGGAGCTGCCCGACGACCCCCGGGTGCGGTCGGCAACCTGGACTGTCGCACACAGTCGGCCGAAGCGCAGGCAGGCGACTCGCTGGCTGTCCGGAAGGTGCCGCACGCGGGTGGCGTCACGTCAGCCCGTGTCGCTCCGCGGCGTATAAAGGCCACGCAGAACAGGTGCCCTGTCGCTCTGCACACATGGCGGATCCCACCACGAATTCGCACACCTTGCTTCTATCGGCCGCGGCGCTGGGCCTGGTGCGCTTCTGTCTCCGCGCAGTTGCTGTGCTCACTTGCTGCAGGCAAACCATGCATACCTCCACCGTTACGAGCCCCGGACGGCACACTATCCGCTCCTCTGTCTGCTCCTCCAGCCGCTGCTGCTGCTCGCGCCGCCCTTCCTGTATACCCTGCATAGCGTCCTTGCGACAACCGGAGTCTTCTTCACCACCCTGGCGCTTTCTACAGCGCTCTACCGCCTCTCGCCGTGGCATCCGCTCGCACACGTGCCGGGTCCGCCGCTCGCGAAGCTGAGCAAACTGTGGGGCGTGCGCCTCCAGATGAGTGGCGCGAGACATTTGGTGTTGAAACATTTGCACGAAAGATACGGAGACGTCGTGCGCATAGGTCTGTGGCCTGATACCTCTGTTGTGGTAATTGATTCACTATTCCAGGTCCCAACGAAGTGTCCATTGCCACCGCCGATGCAGTCAAGTCCGTGCTGGGCAGCGGCGGGCTTCAGAAAGGCCAATGTATGCATTCCGTCTGTCTCCGTCCCTCTCTGCTCACAGCCCCAGACTACGACGTGTTCGGCGACGAATCGCTCGGCACTGCGAGCCTCATCGGCCTGCGCGGCGACACACACGCGGCCCGGCGCCGGATTTGGAACCGCGGGATGAGCACTGCATCTCTGCGGGGCTTCGAGTCGACGCTATCCAGCCGTGTCCGCGGCCTGCGCGACCGCCTCGATGACTTTGCGCACAAGGAGACCCCGGTGGATGTGTCGCAGTGGCTGATGTACTTCACCGCGGACTTCATGGGCGATATGGCGTGCGTCGCACCATTGCACTCAGAATGATTTCATTGATGTTTGTAGCTTTGGCGGCGGCTTTGAACTGATGCGCAATGGGAAGGACGTGGACGGGACGTTTTCGGTGATAAAGATGGGCGTCAAGTGCGTCCCCCTGTTTTTTCTCTTCGGCCGCCCGCTGATTGTTCGTTGCAGAGTTAGCTCCCTGATGGCGCAAATCCCGTGGATCGTCCCGACGGTGAACCTGCTCCCCGCCGTGCAGTCTGTTCGGCAGTTTGCTAGGCAGAGCGCGAAGCGACGCATGGCGGCGGGGCCAAAGGGGGACAAGGACCTCTGGTACCACTTGGTTCATATTTTCACTTGTTCATTGGTGATTTTAAACGCTTGTTGACTGGGATATAGATGGACGAGGAGGGCCACGAGAAAATCAAACCCACCGTGCCCGAAGTCGTGCTCGACGGGGTGCTAGCGATCGTAGCTGGCTCAGACACGTCGGCGATGACGCTCAGCACGTAAGTTCACAGTCCATTATTTCCCCAGGCTAAGCTGTACGTGCAGATTTGTGTGGTGCATGCTAACACACCCGGACGTCTATGCACGCGTCCAAGCGGAGGTCGACGCGGTATACCCCGACCGCGACGGGGATGCCTTGTTTGAGGCCGAGCGTCACGACGACCTGCCGTTCCTCACTGCTTCTTTGTGCGTCCCTTCTGCCTCCAAAGCAACCATCCTGATGCGTATCTGTCCTAGGCAGGAGACCCTGCGGCTGTATCCCCCCGTGCCCACTGGCGGCGCGCGCCGCGTCCCGGCCGGCCCGCCGCGCGTGATCGCCGGAACCCATTTCCCGGCGGGGACACAGGTGGTCCTCCCGAGCTACGTCGTGCAGCGCAGCCCCGCGCACTTCTTCCCCGGCCCGGAGACGTTCGCCCCCGCGCGCTGGCTGCCCTCCGGCGCCGGCGCCGATGCCGGCGGAGTGGTGGACGGCGCGGCGTTCCTCGCGTTCTCAGCCGGTGCGGCGAACTGCGCGGGGAAGCGCCTCGCGTGGCGCGAGCTGCTGATGGCGGCGAGCATGCTGGTCAGACGGTACGAGATGCGCTGGGCCGCCGGCCTGGAGACGGAGGGCGAGGCGTGGGTGGACACGATGCATGATTTCTATGTCACGCATGCGGGGCGGCTGATGGTGCAGCTCCGTATGCGGGCGTAGATCTGGCCATGGGGCTTCGTTGGAATTGGGAGTTGTGCAGATCTCCCAGATGAGAGCAGATGCGGTTATTTGTTCAAGTTTATTCTTTGACCTCCACATTTTGTTTCTTATCACTGCGGAGATTTGGTTAACAGCAAACAGTTTAGATGCCTCGGACGATATGCCGCAAGTGGTAGCGCTGGCACAGTAGTAGTATTACTCTCTGTCCACGTTCACACTCTTAATTAACTTCTCCCAAGCCCCCAATTCCATGACTAACACAAACATTTCGTCGTTGTTTCGTCCAAGGTACGAGACGATTGCTACGTACATCAGTACTAGTGCGCCTTATCCTAGCCCAAGGTCGACAGCGCGGGGCACGACCACGTATGCTAGCGCCCCAATCAGCATGGCAGACATATCGGGGGAGAAAGCGAAACGCACATCGACGGTGCCCGGCGTGCCCTGCCACGGGGCCAAAAGAATTCGCCGAAACCCAGGTAGCGGCGCGAAATCGGCGGGAGGCGGCACTCCCGGTTTTTTTGTAGACAATATCTCCGCGAGTAGTGCACATAATGACATACTTCATACACCATTCGATAGAGTTCACTGAGCTCCTCCAAATGCACTACTGTGCGGCTCGAACGGTGCCTGCGTTGGCGAGCATTTGTCTTAGAAAAAGTCGGGGTAGCGGCTGGTCGCGGCGGCAGGCGGAAGTGATAGGGTGTTTTGCCGATTTCTTTTGGGTAGCGGCGCTGGTTAGCGGCGATGAGGCGGCGGGTATCGGCTCCCCCACATAGTGGTAGCGGCTCTGGTGTGACAGGTAGCGGCTCCCAGCCAAATGAGGAGAGCGGCAATATGGCAGTACTGCAACCCCAGTAAGCGGCAGTTGCAGCTGTCTTTCAACTACTGCCGTCCTCCTTCCACCACCACCATTGCTAGCCTCTTCTTGTGTCGCGTCGCCGTCATTGTTGTCGCTTGGTCGTGGCCATCAACGCTCGCCGCCGGCGAGTCAGCGACAGCGGTGACACGTGGCAAGATCAATTTTTCTTTCGCTCCACCATGTCTACCACGGTCTGGCCTGCGTTCTCTTGCTCCTGGTCGTGTCAGCCGCCCTTTCTGCGCTGCGCCACATCATCCCTCGTACGCATACTCACCAACGCGGCCTGAGTGGCAATGAACTGGCAACGGGCCAACCTTAGTACCTCCTGGTTCTCGTCTATGTCGGCATTGCTGGCAACATGCCTTGCAACTCCACTCACTGCCTCACTCGCCTTCAAGTTCCGGCTGGCTCTTGTCGTTCTTGTTCGGCTTCGGGTTGCCGTTCCTTGTCACGGTGCCCGCGACGAAGTTCTTCCCGACCCGTTGACCTGCTCGGGCACTAAGCGCGAGCCGTCCCCGCCGCTGTTGAAAGTTCTGCACCCGCTCTTCTGGTCGCGGTCGTCTTCCTGGATGCGCTGCGCCACTCAGCTGTAGGGCGACGGGGCAAAGGCAACTTCCGGTGGGCCGCGTGGAATAACACACCCAGTCGCCACTGCCGCACGTGGTATTCGCGTGGCGTGGCAGAAGCGGCGCATGTACGCTCGTCGAGCAGGGCGTGGACGTGACGATGTACCAGTGCTCGCGGGCGGACGGCGTCATCATCAGCGGCACAATTAAGCTTAACGCGGTCAATGCAGACGTGGTCATCTATGTGACAGGCTTCGGGGACGTTACTGCATTTATCCGCAACAAGACACGATCGAGGACCTGATACAGCCTGTGTGGGTGCGGCGAGATGAACTCCGCTACCTCGGCATGAAGGGTCGGTGCTTCGTGACCGGAAATCTGAGCATAAGCTGACTCTACTACACCCACATCGCGCCCAGATCAAGATCAATCAAGAAGAGGGCTTTGTCAAGGATTGCAAGCGCTACATGAAATACCCAGGAGAGGGAGAGTTGTAGACACACAAATGGACAGCGTAGAGCAGAATATGGAGTCTTTTCTGAGCCAGGGTCAAGATACTCGCAAATACTGAGTTTCTCTGAGTCTGCAAGGCTATCGGTTCAATACTCGAAATCCTATGTGCCGCATCTGCATCGCAATGGCGGTATTGTGTTGAATATTCAGGTGTTCATGCTCTAATTCTCAATCCCCCAAAAATTAATCATTACTTAAAATGCCAATTTTGGAGGAAGGACTTTGAATTTAATGATGAGGTTTTCACTATTATATACTAGATGTACAGGGCTACGAACACCACCCAAAATCTCAAATCATAAAAATTAGGTACTTCGCCACTACCCCTTGTATGGCGCAATGGCAGCGCTGTCGCGAGAGTGAAGCAGCAGCAGACAGCTCCACAGTGCTAGATGGGTGGCAGAGAGCATTTCTAATATGTTTGTAAGGGAATGGGGTGCATATATAACCTTGTTAACATAGTGTCAAGCTAATCCCTCAAAAATTAATCATTACTTAAAATGGAAATTCTGAAGGAACAACTTCGAATTACGAGGTAGAGTCTTCACTATTGTATACTAGACGTTTAGATCTACCGATTCCTACAAAAATCTCAAATGACAAAAATTGAGTAGTTCGCCGCTACCTTGCCGCTACCCCTTGTGCGGCGCGCTAGCAGCGCCCGCGGCGACAGCGGAACAACATTAGATACTGCCGCAATCCTCAACAGCCGTTGAATGGCAGTGCTGGAACTTTGGGAGTGACTGCTCGTCATCGAGGCCAACGTTGCCCCCGACAGTGACAACTGTGACGATGAGTCAAATGACACATGATACACATCTTTCCCTCTCTCTTCCGCTCCACCACCACCAATCAGCGATCTTATACGGCTCGTCGTACACTGGGACAACGGACGCGCAGCCGGCAACACACTTCTCCTCCCTGATCCCAAGCAAACTTTGCTAGCTATGTGGGACTCAATTCTGCGCGTTCTGCGCGTTCTATGCCAATCCACTCGCAGTGTTTGCCCAACGACCATCACAGTCTTGCCCGCTTCCTTCACCTACTGCAGTCGCCACTCAGGCTCTCACTGCCGTGGCTGCGTGACTGTGTCGGCCGCCCTGCCGTGTTCTATACACACCCCGGGTGGCGGCAAGGTGCAGGCCGCAGTCAACTGGTCGGCGGTAGCGGCGGCTCTTCTGGTTTGGCCAGTGCTGAGTTGCGTCGAGTGCTAAGCAGCATCGGCCCGCGTTGACCACACACAGCTCCTCGCCGCCCCCGCCCACGGTCTCTGCCGCATGTGAACGAGTGTCACAACGCGAGTAGAGTTACGCGACTCGCCCGCACTGAGTCGCTGTACTGTACCTTTCCCTGGCTTCATATCAGCGTCGCGCCGAGCAGCTTCTATGTTGGCGGCCAAAGCCCACGGCCACACTCTCTGCCGCTTCCAGCCCGCCTAGCGTTGCAGATCCACCTGTTCTTTCGCTCACAATGCTCCACCTAGCATGCATATGCCGAGCCGCGCCGCTCCTACCACAGCAATCAGCTCCAGTGACCGATGTCTCACTGTTGCTGCCGTCGTCTGCACACTTCACAGGAAGTCCAAGCTTCCGCGCTGCCGTTAGCGCCCTCCGGCCTCACCGTGTTATGCCGTCGACTCTTTCGACTTCAGCGTTAAGACATCGGTCAAACGCCTCGTTGCGGGTCGCTCTTGCCATATATTAACGTCCACAGACAATACCTGGCACCCGTCTCGAGCAAAACGCAGCCGCGACCACTGCTTCGGAAACATCCTTTGGCTAGCCCGACGCCCATGGCCCCGTTGTCCACGGCACGCAACCTCCGACTCGCCTTTCCCCACCATCCGGGTAGCTGGCTCACGCCGCTTCAGTAGCTGATTGCTGGGCATGGACAAAAGGAACTTTGTGATGTGCAGGCCTGCGGATACTGCCAGTAGACAACTGAGCTGCGCGCGCGTGAGCCCGATTCGGAGGGTTCCCGCCCGCGCGCCGTACCGTTGGTGGTGCGGCACTTACGCTTCTCCTCCTCTCGCCCCCGGCTGTGCATCACATTCCCGGCGTCGCCGTATTGCGCCTGTTTGACGCCGCCTCCTACGGATGTTTGTACATTGGAATTCGTTGGGATTGTACAATATATGATAAGTTACATATTATAATCCTATATGCTACTGAGGATATACTGGATACCAAGAACATGATCTGAGGATAAATATCTTCATAATTGGATTACACAGAACTAAGGATATTGCTGTATTTATGTTCTAATTCTCAATCCCTCAAAAGTTCATCATTACTTAAAATGTAAATTTTGAAGCAACGGCTTCGAATTTGATAGTGGGGTCTTCACTATCTTGTACTGAACCTCCGGGGCCACCAGCCGCTATGAAAATCCCAAATCTTAAAAATCAAGGACTTCGCCGCTACCCCGCCGCCGCCCTTGTGCAGCGTGATGGCGGCGCCGCGGCAACGGCGAAGCAGCAGCAAGCCGTACCGCAATGCTCAAGAGCTGTTCGAGGTTAGTAGTGACCGCTGTAAAGAATCGAAGACTCAAGAGTGAATCCTAAAAATTAGCAACTTCGCCGCCTCCCGCTGTGTGACGGCGATGAGCTCGATGTGACGCAGACGACGTCGTGATGGGCACCGCTGGAGCGGAACCCATGATTGGAGCCACGCGGCCCAAGTGGCGCCTCTTGAACTCTGCTCGTTGTCATGTACAGCCCAATCGCACATCGAGGGTGAGCGGCGAAGTGCACATCCGTGTCAAAACATGCACTTCGCCGCTACCCAGCCGCTACCCCACCTTGTGACGGTGGCGGAAGCGTGACATGGGAAAGCGGCGATGGGGGTAAATGTCGCAGCGGTTCGCGGCAGGTAGGCGGCGCGCAGCGGCGAAATCTATCTGCCCCCTGCCACGTGTACGGCGACGGCAGGCCCGCGCAGCGGCTCGCGGTGACGGGCGTGTAGCCGTAGTCCGCGACGAGGCGCGCGATGTCGTAGTCCGCAAGGGCGGTGCTAGCAAGCCCATCAATCGAAGCGGACAGGGATGTTCACAAACGGGGC